GAAAACCATGACGACCTCTACAGCCATGGTTCCAATGCAGGTGGCCTCGGTCGCTTCCATGCCTGCGGACGGGCCTGACTTTCTCTTTGCGACTTGTCCCTTTGTTTTTCAAGTTTCTCTGATCAAATAGACTTCAGTTGCAGGGCTGTATGGGCAACTAAGGCAGATTTTGCTAACCTTTGGATGGACGAGGCCACCTTTCTTTCGGACGCAGCTTGTCAAGCCAAAAAAATCGCTGATGCTGCAATGAGCATGTCAGTCTTTCCGGCCTCGGAGACGAACCACCTGCAGAACACGCCAAAGGTTCCTGCTGTGCGCAAACGCGATGTGAAGCGTAGCCGGCAAAAGTTGCCCAGTGAGCCAGGTAACACATGGTGGCAACACTTAGGCAAAAAATCTCAAGGAGATGCTTTGCAAGAATTTTATGTGGCCGGCAAAACAAAAGGCTTGAATATGACTGCGAAATGCTTTGCTTCGCGCTTGTACAAGCATCCGTCCCTCGTAGATGTGGACATGCGCCGGGATGCACATAGAGACGCAGTGGAATTTGTTGAAACAGTGTCGAAACGAGCAAAAAATGCTTGAATAAGTGTGCCATTTTCAAAAGAAATTGGTTGGACCGTTTCGAAAAAAATCTTTAATTCTTAACATGTGAACTTATGACAGGTTCACACAACGACCACTTGCAGCTGGATTGCCAGCTGTGGCGTTGCATCTGCATCGGCAGAATCGAAAAAAGGAAACTTTTCCATTTCCCATTTTCGTTTCTGTTTACTTACCGTCTATATTTCAATGTCCTTCTTGCACATAAGCATCAAAGATTTCCGTGTGTCACTGAAGTTTTCTCATGTCAAGTTACAATGAAGCCACCTCGTGATATTACAAGGAAATACAAAGACGCAATGGCGATAAGCTGTCAGCTGAACAATTTCCATCCGACCCCTCGCGAAGTGCAAACTTCCTTGGTTAATCGCCTGACGTTGGTGCGCTTACAAAAACACATCGACTACCTCCTGCGTTGTGTGACCCGACAGCATTTCTAATGTCCACCACCACCCCCCCAAAAAAAAGGCTGTTTTTTTGCAAGTCTTCCAGGACTCCTTGAAGGCAAAGGATTTCGCCCGATATCTGCTTCGTGTCAAACATCGACGGTTACAAGTCGAACGCAGACGATGATATGAAAGTTTGCACTAATTCAATTCCCATTTTTGCACATTAATTTGATGACAATTAAAGCAATTGCGCATCGCTTCGATGATTAAAAAAAAACTCATTCGGTCCAATGTTTCCCTTGGCCCAACGCGATGCATGCATTTTCCTGTTTCTGGTGTCCAATGCATGCAAACACTCAATTTCATGTCTGTTTCATGTTTCCAGTTTCCAATGTCCGTGTCCATTAAATTTTCACTTCTTACAGTCAAGTTCTTGTTTGAAAACCATTGATTCTTTCCATGAAACATATCTGTTTTTCATTAAAACAATGCACCATTTCTGAGTTTACACATCTATCTTCTTATCTTTTGCGTCATTCACTCAAAACAAAATAAGCTTCGAAAGCTTATCATGATTTTACGATAGTCTCTAAAAATAAACTATATATACTATCATTGATGAATCAGCTATGATAACCTAAATAGATTATTAATAACCTAAGAAGAGCCTTGGGGCAAATGTAGACGGCACAATTAATAATAAAACTACTTCCGGGAATTTATGCCCCGGATTTCCGCGAGGCGAGCGCGCGCGCTACTACTTTTACTGCTTACGACTTACTGACTTACTGACTTACTACTTACTACTTTTTACTCTCTACGTTCTACCTACTACCTACTACCTACTACCTACTACCTACTAACTACTAGCTACTAGCTACTAGCTACTACTATCTACTAACTACTGACTACCCACTACCGACCTACCTACCTACCTACCTACCTACCTACCTATACCTACCTACCTACCTACCTACCTATACCTACCTATACCTACCTATACCTACCTATACCTACCTATACCTACCTATACCTACCTATACCTACCTATACCTACCTATACCTACCTATACCTACCTATACCTACCTATACCTACCTATACCTACCTATACCTACCTATACCTACCTACCTACCTACCTACCTACCTACCTACCTACCTACCTACTACTTGCGACTTACTACTTGCGACTTACTACTTTGACTTACTGACTTACTACTTATTACTTACTGACTACTACTCTACTACTACTACTACTACTACTACTACCACTACCACTACTACTACTACTACTACTACTACTACTACTACGACTACCACTACCACTACCACTACCACTACCTACTACCTACTACCTACTACCTACTACCTACTACCTAC